TGTGTGTGTGTGGTGGGGAGAGGCTAAGGGCGGAGAAAGGACGGAGAGGTATGCGGGGCGTGAGTCTGAGCTGTGTGCGCGTTCCAGTTCAGCGAGCATGTCGTACGCGCAGGTAGAGTGTTGGGCTTCGGGCTGGGGGAGGCTGTTAGAACCACAGAGATCATCCCTCCAGAAAGAAGCCCACAGGGTTCTAGCCCGGTGTGTGTCTATCCAGCACGCGGCCGGGACTCCGGAGGCCTTCCTGGAGGTGGTGACAGGGGTGGGAGACAGCGATGAGGCTGGGGCAGCGTCCAGGCCGGAGATGGGGGACTTGAGCCAGGGCGGGGAGGGTGTGTGGGAGGCGCTACTGAAAGTAGGGTCCTCCTAGGAGGGTCAAACTTGAGGGTTCAGGGGAGGTGATTAAGCTCTGTTTTTCATATTCTTTTAGGAACCCTCTGAAGCGCAGAAAGTAGGAAGGTACTGGACACGTCCACCACCCTTTCGCCCAGCCTCGGGGTTGCTCTCTCCCTCTGGCCCAGCCGCCACCCAACAGACCGAGGGTGCCTGTCTGACTGTGCCCTGCCTGGGGCACAGGCATCCCCTCTGAGCTGATGTTGGGTGAAGGAATGAATGATGGGGATGGTGACAGCACCCAGGAGCTGACCACCCCCATTAGAGCAGCAGCCTCCCGCTCCCATTTCTCGGGAAGACCTGCACACCCAGCGGCCTCTGGGGGATGCCAAGTAAAACCTCTCCTTTCCTTCATTCACCGGGGAAACGTTCATCCAGCCCTACCCAGCGGTTACTGAGAAAGACACTGCAGGGAGGGGCTTGGACAAACTGCTCTAACAGCCTTTAGGAGACGCCTCACCCGGTGTGCGCCTGTGAGGAGGGGGTCGGGATCGGTTCTCCCCCCTGGGACGGTGACAGAAGGGAGAGGAATTTCCTAAGCAGCGGGTTTGCAAAGGCTCTTTGGCCTCCAAGAGGCAGCAGTTTCTTCGGCAAGCTGAAAGCTTGCACCCCACCCCCAACCCCCCCCACACACACCCGGGAGCTCCTCCCCCAACTGCCCAAGGCCTCCCTGGGGCCCTCATGCTCTGGGGAGGGGGACAGACCACACAGAAACGGGGCTCCTGGGATGCTGCCTGCATCCTTTCTCTAGAAGAACACTCCTCGTTCATAGAGGGTGGGGGAAAGTCAACTGGTCACAAGAACAGCCCTGGAGGGACACGACAGTGGCAGGGGCCTGACTTCACCAAGAACCCTCCCCTCAGGGCCCCTGTGGACAGAGAATGTTGCTCACCATCAAGGCTTCTGCCACTGCAGCGCCACCCCCCTTCCCCACAGTGGTGCGCTGTGAGGGGATTCAGGATGGAGAAAAACCAGATACTGGCCCTGGATAGCTGAAGTGCATATCAAAGGAATGATTTCAGTGAGCCCAGACAGCATCTAGCATCTTCCCATACACAGAAAAGCACTGCAACCATTAACTAGAGATGTCAGCTTTTTGTGATTAGCAGGAACCTTTTGATGTTTGACTCTATGGGGTTTTTTTTCAGCAAAAACTCCGAGGAACAGTTCCTCAGAGCTATATGAGAGGCAATGTCTTGGGCTACAGTCCTCAGTAAGTTCCTGGAATAAAACATAACTCACAGCTTTCAGGTCTTGTATTTTTCAGTCAACGCCCCCTGGACTCTGCAGCCCTGGCTGCTGTGTCCTCAGATGGGAGCCTGCCCTCATGGCCTTTAGCAGGAGCCAGAGGAACTTCTGCCGAAGTGGAGTGGCAAGGGGGCCTCGTCCAGGCAGCCCTCCTTCCAGCACCTTTGTGCTCCTGCACTGGGACCTGGGGCCCCCAGCATCTCCCCGACCCATGAGGCTCTTTGGGCTTCACTTTTTGCTTTACCGAGTGGCTGCTCTTCCCTTCCCAAGTTAGCTGCTCAGACAGGGAACATGCAGCGGTGGCCGGGGTCTCCCCACTCCCAGCCCCGTACGCAGGCTCCACCTCATGAGTGGGCAAGGCAACTCCAGTCCCAGGGCCTGGACGCTGGCCCCACTGTCACGGCACCCCGAGGGGCTGGAAGCATGGGGCCCTGGTCTGCTCTGGACACTGGTCCTGGGGGCAACCCAAGCACTGGGCTGGTTTTTGTGAAGGACAGCAAGGTCCCATTCCTGATTCCCCCCGTTACGGGTGACGGTGACCTCCACTGTGTGTGTAGAGCCACACCTGGCACCAAAAACACCTCCAGACGCCATGAGCTCTAAAATCCATACAAACGTTTATTCTGCCCCTGCCTGGGGGTGGGAGAGAGGGGATGCAGGAACTGGGGCGCTGCGGGCCTTTACAGACAGCCCCCCCCCCCGAGGAGGGCGGGGCTCTGGCGGGAAGACAAGTGTCCAGAGGCCGACGGGCCCTGGGGCGTCCAGAAGGCAAGGCCCTGGGGGCTGATGGAGGGGCCAGCTTGGTTCTCAGAACTCCCAGGTCCTGGCGGCTGCTGGGGTGCCAGTGCTCCACTCCCAGCCCTACCCCCATCCACCGGGAAGGAAGGCAGCACCAGGGTCTTGCTTCTCCAGGTGGGGGAAGACAACTGTGCAAGTTATCAGGTTTCAATTACAAATAATAAAAATAACAATACAAAATAAAAAGACAACTCTTGTCACAAACAAACCCTCAACAAGCCTGCCCGGCCGCCCCCCGCCCACGAGGAGGAGCAGGGGCAGGTGGTCTCGCTGCCTGGGGCACGAGCAGGGCCCGCTGGAGGTGCCGGGCGGGAGGGCCCTGGCCTCGCCCGTCGAGTCAGCAGCAGTCTCCAGAGGACAGAGGTCTGGGGCAGAGAGGCAGGGATGGGCGATGGGCTGCGGCGGGGGCTCGGGGCTCCGGGGTCAGTCTCGGCGCTGGGCTCTCGTGGCCTCCGGCTTGTCCCGTTCTCTCGGTTTTCTGTGTCTTGGCGACGTGGACAGGGTTAGATCTCGAGATTTATTGCACTGTTTTGGAAGAGGCCTAGGGTAGAGAACGGGCCGGGGCGGCAGGAGAGGCGGGCGGGGGGGCGGGCGGGCAGGCGGCGGTCACCGCTTGGTCTTGGCGTCTTCGCGGATCTTCCAGATCACCAGGTGCATGCAGGCGCTGGCGTCCTCACTGGAGCTGTGCCCGTCCACTGCAGAGCAGACAAATGCATCAGGGCAGGGAGCCCGCAGCCCCCGCGGCCCCACGGCCCGGCACTCACCATTGTCCTGGATGATCTGTCTGAGGTAGTCGGCCATGAGATTCCGCAGGGAGCGCTTGTAGGGAAGGCCCAGGCGATGCGGGAATAACACGGACGTGTCCACCACGGTGCTATGGATGACCTGCGGGTGGGCGGGTGGACGGTCAGGGACCCCAGGAGGGCTGGGGTGGCAAAGGGAGGAGGGGGACGCCAAGTGCCTGGTCCCCAACCCTATAGCTCCCGCCCTGGGCTGAGGGCAGAGGGCCCCAGACGGCCCCACCCACTCTCTGAGGACCCTCAGGGAGCCTAAGACGAGGTGGGCGGGTACCTTCAAGGCCAGCAGGTCGCTCTCCAGGCTGTGGCCAATGAGGATGGTGTCTGAACTGAACATGCTCAGCAAGACGGCCTGGACATCCCGCAGCGAGATGCTCGTGTCCGTGAGGTCGGCCTCAGTCACCCCTGAAAACCTGGGGCGGGAGGATGGAGGCCTTAGGGAGCTGGGGAGGGCACGGGGACCCCAACCCGGGGCTGGGCTGTGGGCAGGAAGGCTGGGCCGTGGTGGGGAATGGGAGTCCTGCCAGGGCTCCCACCTCCTTGGTCAAGGGGTCGGGGGTCAGGGTGGGAGGGGCACACCTAGTGTTATAGTCCACGATCTCATTGTCCGGCCTGACAAAGGTGTCGTACACAACCTGGAGCTCCGTGTCCACGACCGTGACGCGCGTCAGCTCTAGGCCATACGTGGTGTAAGACTGGGGGGCCAGAGGACAGGCCTCAGACGGAGCGGCCGGTGGCCATCCCTGGCCCCACACACCAGCGCTCCCGCCTAGGCCACCCCTGTCCCTGAACCCTGCGGGCGGAGGCTCAGCTCCCACTCTCAGATACGGAAACCAGGCCAGAGGCCTTCTGGGGCTTCTCTGCGGGTCGGAGGGGGCGGAAGCCCAGGCACCCTCCCAAAGCCAGAGCTGTGCTCATGAGGCCCACACAACCTCCGAGCGCCAAGGTGGACCTTGTGTGCCAGGCCCTCGGGAGCAGGCAAGGCTGTGACGGGTGCTCAGCGGGCAGGTGGGCCCGGCTGCCGTTCACGCTCTTATTCCAGCACCTGCGCTGGCCCGAGGCTCTGGGTAGAGAGACCGGGTCAGCCCCGCTGGGCAGCCGGGCCGCCTCACCATTTCACAGTCGAGGGCGTAGACTCCTGGGTGTGCATCTCCTGAAAGTTCTTTCTCAAAGGTCTTCACAAACCCTTCGAGGTTTTCCTTCCGGCCGTCCTGCACGTGTTGCTGAGGGTGGGAGGGAAGGAAGGTCAAGGCGGCAGGCTTGGAAGGGCAAGGCCGGGCTCAGGGGGCTGGGCTGTGCTGGTGGCTTTCACAGACTGTCCATCTCTTCCCAAAGCCCCCAGACCAGGCAGGTAGATCAAGGATGGGAAAAGGGCAGCTCAGAGGTCAGGGCTCTGGCCAGAATGGGGGAGGGGCTTCCCAGGACGAGGAAAGGCCCAGGACACCTACCTTGGCGACCTGACAGCCAGCGGAGCCAATGGCGGCCGAGCAGCACGTGTACTGAGTCTCCCAGCCCCCTGCCACTGCAAGGGAGACGTGGTCAGCAGACCTCTTTGATGCCCTGGGCCCAAGCCTCCCGCAGGGAACTACAAATGCCGGCTAGTTTGCCTGCGCGGGGCAGGGGCTTCCCAGGAGGGGCGCCAGGCCCGACCAGGCAGTGAGAGGCCAGGACAGCTTACACACCCGCCGCCCTGCCCAGGCTTAGCACAAGTCCTTCGCATTTGGTAGTGAGGACACGCCTGGCGCGGCCCCCAGGGAGGCCTGCCCACCCAGAGATGGGTCTGCCGGCGGCCAGCCGGCAGCTCCACCCCGTGTGTTCGCAGGAGAGGGAATTTGGCCACATCAGCGACAAAATGAAACAAGCAGCCGCAGGACAGGACGAACACTTTGTTCCCACTGGGGCAGAACCGCCCACGTAGTTCCACGGGGACAGTCGTGGAAAGGATGCGTGGGGGCCTCATGGGGTGGGAGGCCTTCCTTTTATCTACCCGGGAACACTGTCACGGGAAGACCTTTGTGTTACTTTTCCCATGAAGAACAACCAACGGAAAAAAGTTACAAACGGTCAGAGCTGGCGCCAGCCCGGCCCAGCGGGGGTCTCACCTCGGTTCCGGCGGAGCCGCCCCCAGTGGTAGTAACACTCCTCGTCGCGCATGCAGCGGCCGGCGGAGGACACGAGGTACTCGGCGCCGCAGCGGCAGCAGACCCTGCAGGTGGCTGCGAGTGGGGACGGGGCAGGAGGAA